TATATAAACTTGTCTTCGAAAGCTCAGATATGACTTGTACTCTGGAAGTGGAGCACCTATTCTCAAGAATGAAATTGGAGATACGAGTTTCAGACCTAGTTGCAGTAATTTTTCGTTAAGAACTGAGTGAGGAACTGTAGGACTCACATTTGATATCACTAGACGGTCTGAAGGAGAAACTAATCTCCGTCCTCTCAAGATCTCACCATTTACCTCTATTTGTCCATGATTCTCTAAAAGGTGTCTACTAACTGTTTAGTTGCTACATATATACATATTCTGTTGTTGGAAATTCTGGACAGAACAATATATTTTTCGGGTTGACGATTGGACCAAGCTTAAGTAGGTAGTCTTGTAGCTTAGCTCCATCAGAAGAATTAAATATAATCGCTTGATCCTTGTTTGGGTACTTGACTGTGTTTTGAGTAAGTACGTTTGAGTAGGACTGAGCTGTTGTGTTGCTTTCAGATGAGTTTTGGTTATTAACAGATGACATTATGGTAATAGTGAAATAACTCCAGGTAGATGCCGTATCATTTCTCGATACGGTCCTGCTTATCCGCAAATATTTGTTGTTTGATCTTATTTATCGCATAAACGTAGAGTATTTACTCACAATATGTTCTTAATGGCTCACACTTATGCACTGGTACTCTTGCAGGAATTATTGATGATTTATTAACTAGTTTGTTAGTAAAAAATGTAGAGATTCACTCGGTATCAACCAATTCGATTTTGGTCAGGACCGAACTCGTGGACTACGTCTTAAAATATAGTTTGACTTCTTTCTCTGAAAAAATTGTTGATTGCCTTCAAAATCATGGGAAACGAAAAAAATAGACAGTCAAGTTTAGGGGAGTTACAGATTTTTGGTCATAATACTGGTACCATTATACGAACCTTTCAAAATTTCTTCAAAATCCAGTTATAGAAAGACCAATGATTAATTAGTGTTTTGAAGATTGCTCTATCGCAAGGACCGATTAATAAAAACTATAAACATTTTTTAATATATGGCCAAGGATTACTTGATGAACGCCACAAAAAATGTATCTACCATGTTATATCTGAAAATTATTCTTCCATTTGAAGTTTTTCGCGAATACAGAAATTCCCTCGTCTATTGAATTGACTGAAAAAATGCACCCTGTTTGAATTTTTAAAGACATGTATACTCAAAAAACACATACAAGGATGTTTATTTGAAAACTTTTACCACCACGGATTATCGAAAAGCACTGATTAAAAGAAGAAAAGCCGAGACACGTCTAAAGATTTATCAAGGGAGGCAACTTTGTAACCAAAACCTACTTCACCCCCATCACCCTCGGCCCCCAGGGTCATTCCCTTAAAAAACTTTAAATTAATAGGGGTATCGAGTAATAGCTTTATTTTGACGTTTGATTTTTTAAAGTCAGTCGGTTCGTTTCCGAGAAAATTAGAAACATCTTTATTTATCTTAATTTGTTCAGATAGAAAACAGAAACACAAAAAAATAACACTTTTTATTTGAATAAATGTTCAAAATGTTGCTCGTTAGGGTTTGCCAAATTTACAATTCGTTTATAATTTAAAACGGAAACTACCAACGCAATTCGGAAGATTAGACGTGGCAGCAACTAAATAACAACCCGATTTTTTTCCGCATTCTGTTCATCAGCTCAGATATCCTGGACGAACTGTATTTATTGTTATATCTGCTTAGCTATTTCTTGCTAAGGGAAAGAAAGAACTTAATTTGCTGTCAGTTACCTTTGTGACAATCTTGGGATGGTGAAAATTAATTTATTGATTCAGATTTTACTTCCAAAATGGTTTACACACCATCCAAAAGAGTGGAAATGATTCTAATTTATGGTGCCCAAAATCATTGTACTCGGCAAACTGCCGTCACTTTTGACGCCAGACGGGAAGATAGCCTCGCATAGGTATGTTTTGGACCTTGTTATTAAATTTACTTAAACTGAATCTGTTACAAATAAAAATCGTGATCATCGGAGATTTTTGGATAAGCCGCTCAGTCAGTTCAAGTTTTGGGTCATTTTGGAATAAATCCCAATTA